AAAAAAAAAAAATAGAATTGCCAAATGATCCAGTAATTTCACTACTGGGTAATTACCCAAAAAGTACAGAAACACTAATTTGAAAATATGTATTTATGACTATGTCTACTACAGCATTATTTACAATAGCAAAAAATATGGAAGCAGTTTGAGTGTCCATTGATAGGTAATATATTGATAATATTGATATATATATAATGGGATATTATTCAGGCATAAAAATATTAAAACCTTGCCATTTGCAACAAGAAAGATGTCTATGTATTTTCACTTTATTATGTCACTCATGTGGAATTTAGGAAACCAAACAAACTAACAAAGAAAAAAAGAGACTAGCCAAAAATACAGACTCTTAAATATAGAAGACAAACTGGTAGTTAGCAGAGGGGAGCTGTGTTGGGGGATGAGTGAAATGGGTGAAGGAGATTAAGAGCACACTGATTATGAAGAACACTGAGTAATGTAGAATTGTTGAATCCGTATGCTGTATACCTGAAACTAATATAACAGTGTACATAATTACACTGGAATAAAAAGTAATAAATAAAATCTTAATCATGGCTTCCAAGTATCTACATTCAAACATCAAATCTTTCACTAATGTTTTGTTTTTGTTTTTGTTTTCATAGAGATCTGTCATACAAGAAAGAATTCCTGATTATATGCCTTCTGGCCTGACATCCTAGAATTCTTGCTTTGGCTATGAATATGGAAAATACCACTTAACTCCCTCTTCTATCTTCTCTCTCTCTCTCTCTCTCTCTCTCCCCCCTTCCTCATACCTCCACATATTAGTCAATAGATACTATAAAAATAACATTTCAATAAGAATACCTTTAGTTTTATCTTATTGTCTGAAAACTGTTTGTTCCCATACAAGAAAACATATTAAAATTATTAAGGATAAGTAGAATCATCTTGTATCCTTTGTAAGATTACATAAAAAGCAAAGATCACCCTTGATAGGGAATACATGGAGACATTTTTAAGTGTCCAGACCCAATACATGACATCTATTAATTCCTCTCTTTGAGAGAATAAATTTGTTCCACTGAATGTGTGCTCCAGATCTCATCTTTTAGACTCTGTGCTTCTTGTGCAAAGTTCTGGGACAGCTTCTGTGAAGGAAGGGTGTTTCCATTTAGGTAGATGCAAGAATGGACCAGAGAGCATGGACACTGCAAATAAGTTTATCTCTGTTTGCACAGCCTTGCAGAGTCCCTTATAGTACCTTCCAATGACTTTTACACTTTGCACATGAAGTCATCAAAGGGAAAGATGAAAGGAGAGCTCTCCTCTTGAGGTACAACACTGTGGTTTTAAGATATGGACTACAAGCTCTCAAACACATGCTCTTGGATGAAAGGCCAGTTGTTGCTTTGCAACCTGGCCCCTGTACAGAGAAAGGAAGGAGAAATTGAAGAAAGATACAAGCCATTTCATGTTGGTAGGTGGCAGTTTTAATAAACAAGGGAACTTAAGAGACTTGTCTTTGGTGACTGGCTCCAGTAATATATACTGTTCAGGTGCGCTCAACATGTTGTTATCTCACAGCCACATCCTACCGCAGGAAAGGCAAGTGGAGCATATATCCCAAGGACAGGGGAGGGGATGAGGAGCGTCTGCCTGCCTGAGTCCAGCTAGTGGGTCAACCTGTGGTTATGTCCACTTGATGACCTTCTCCAACATCATTTACTTATGAATTTATAACTATATCCAGAATCAATCTGAGAAGCTACACTCCATCCCATTCCATTCTAGTTTACGGACACCTGAAACTCCCTTGAATATTGTCTGTAGACTTTTGGAGAGGACAGAGATCAGCTGACTCTCAAGAGGTTTTAGTGATGACTTGATGCCGACCAAGATCACGAGAGCAGGCTATACCCTATTTAAACCTGGAAGGCACTGTGAAGGTGCTGGGAATATTAAGATGTATAATATGGGGCCCTATCTCTCAAAGGCTGTCTACTACAATGATTCTCAAACTTTAACATTCATAAAAATCAAAGGCAAAGTTGTTTAAAATGAGGATTATTGCCCTCCAACCCAAGTCCTTGTGGAATTTAGGATCTCACATTTTTAATAAGTGTTCCTCGGTGATTCCATTCAAGAATCCTACTCTGTAACATACTGAGCTAATGGGAAGCATGTTAAAGAGAGAGAGAGAGAGAGAATAAGAGAGAGAGAGAGAGAGAAAGAAATGAAAAACAGGGCAAAAAGAAGTATTTTATCACAGAATTGCCAGCAATTACACCTGGCCAGAAAATGTTCTTTATCTGTCCTATGCATATATGACATATAGTCTTCAGCTCATACTCAGAAATGAGTAATCACACATACAATTCATGCATTTGTCTTTCATTTGTATCTGCTGAAGGAATGCCATGCTTGTGCATGCAACTACTGAGTTCAGTTCAGGGGATTCCTAAATGAAAATCCACAACTCAGAGTAATACACAGGCATGATAATGTAGAAAATCCACTAGCTAGATTTATTATTTTCTCTTTTAACTATGTTTTTCTACGGGCAGAAAAAGAGGCAGTAACATCTCAGGTATATATGGTTGCCATAGGGACAGAAGTTGAGATTTACTGGGGAACATTGCTGTAAATAGCAATAAAATAGCAATTCAGTGGAGGTCAGAAGCACAAATTCACTGAAGCTACAATCAAACCAGACAGCTTCTCAATCTACTCAATAGGAATTTTGCAGTTGCCACTGTAAGGTAAATGGAAGAACGATGAAACCAAGCCAAATGTTTCACTCCTGTCTCCAAATGCCCTGAGGTCCTTTGGCCCTAAGCTTTCAAGATGCTGTGCCAGGAATTCTGGGTAGTAGAAAGGTCAGACAATAAACAACAATGTTATTTTTAACCCAGTGACTCAAAAGTAAAAATTCAGAGCTCAGTGAGATTCTTAAATGTGATACTTTATGATCCAACATAGAGACAAATAGGATTATATATTGTAAAGAAACCTATGAGGCAATCTTTGCCTTCCTAAAAGACACAGCTTAAGTACTGCTTAACAGATGGACATATATGAATATTTATACACACATACATATAATAATATATGTATGTATATATACACACATTAAATGCATATAAGCTATAGCTTTTGTTGTTTTAAGTGGAATAGGTTTAGCTAACAATGACCTGACTCACTTTTCTGGCCCATATCTTTTTTTTTCCCTGGAACACGGTGCTTGGAAGGTATGGGTCCAGCATGCCTTTCTATGCATTTTCCCTAATTTTCTAGGGCAGGTGCCTGCAATCCTTACTCTGTTGCCTCTTACAATTTTATGTTACAACTTTACTAGGATTTGGTGACAGAGTGGTAGTGGTATTCTGAAACGTGTATTTTAGACTTTACCTAAATATTAAATTTACTCTTTAATTAGTAAGTAGTTAATAGTAGCCTATTTGATGACTATTCCCAAGTGATGGAACATAACGTATGTTCTCTATTGAAATAGTGTAGGCAACCCAGGAAAAGATTAAATGTGACACTGCCTTTCATAAATATGCCACTTAGGTATTGGAATGATTCAATTTAAGCTAAGGGTCTTTGAAATGATGTAGCCCAATATATACCTCAGAATGTTCACTCCTTAAAAGTCCTCATGTCTAACAGGAGAAAGGAGGGGTCCCAGATGCACACATTCCATCTTTTGATAGTCTGGGTGAGTCATTAGCTTGTACACATCTGTCTTCTTTTATCAAAGCAGGCAATTATTTTCTCTGGGCTCAAGCAAAGAAATGATAATTCATACCAATGCTGGAAGAAAAACTAGCTATTTTGAACTTGTTGGGTAGGGGCATGTCAGTCTCCAATGGTTCACATTCTTAATTAGCATTCTACCTTTTTCTTTTTTTAAGTATCTTTACATTTGTTTTATTTGTTTTCAATATAGAGGTGAAGAGTTGAGTTAATGAGAGTTTAACATATACTATCATTATCATTCCTCTAGAATTTTATTTTGTCAGTAATTGTCTCTTTAGCCTCTGGTCTCCACTATAATTAACCTCCTTAACCTGCCCCCCTGCCCACCACCTTAGATTAGTAGTTACTCTCCTGTTTTTAATATATCCTTTTCCACACATTTCATAAAACTTATGGATAAAATTATAATCTTAAATAACATATAGAGGTTTTGTTTTTGTATGTGTGATTTTGTGTGTATGTTTTTGTTTGTGTTTGGATTAAAATGTAGATAACATGCTTAGAATAGTGTCTAGGATAAAGTAAACACAACACAGATATTAGCTACTAGGCCTAGTCAATTTGACAAATGGTATGGAGACAGAGTTCATTATTTTTTCATATAATTTTTCAATAACTATATTTGCATGATCTATCCATTTTCTTTATGGATATTGCTTCAGAATGTTATGTAATATTCCACAGAACGTGTCCTATATATTTCACCTATATACCCCTACTCATACACTCAGATTGCATCTGCCCTCCTATAGTGTAGACAAGGCTATAATGAATGACCTTATACTCCTTGAAAGATTATGAGAAAATTTCTCTGAGTAATGTATCCAGCAGAGAGATTACTGGGCCATGGGTGTATGAATACTTTATTCTTCCATTATGTTCTCTACATGGCCCTTATCAATAATACTTGGGATTTTCCCTTTCATTTTCATCAGCACATATAATGATCTGGCTTCTGACTTGCCAGTTTGTTAGAAGAAATATATTTCATTGATGTGTGAGTTTTTCACTTCTCTGATAAGAGTTATGCGTTTCTTTATATATTTTTTAGCCATTTAAATTTTCTCCATACTCTTTGCCTATTTTTTCTACTTTAGTTTCTGTACTTTTCTCACCATTTTATAGGAGTTCCTTGCATATTTTAGAAAATAATCTCTTGTCAGTTTTGGATAGTACAAACGTCTTCTATCTGTAATTTGTCAGTTAATTTTGGTAAAGAATGCCTCTTACATTCTCTCTTTCAGCTAATTTGCATCATAAAGAGATGTTGCCATACCATCAAATGCCTTTTCTTCATTTATTATGATAGTATGATTTTTTTCCTCTTTATTTCATTAATTTGAAGTATATTAAGCAATTTTTGATGTTAATTTATCTTCTCATTCCTGAGGCAAAACCAACTTGATAATGATGCATTTTTAATGTGCTGTTGAAATTGGTTAGTTAAAATTTTATTTAGAATTTTTATGTGTATGGCCATGAGTGAAGAGTTATTCTATTCCTCTTTTTTTCTAGCTTCTTCAAATGAAAGCTTAACATATTTGTTTCCTACGTCTCTTGTGTTTTTTAAATAAATGTATTAAAGACTATAAATTTCCAAATATTTCGTTAGTTGTATTTTCCAGAATTTGACACATAATCCTTTAATTTTTATTTGACCCTAAATATTCTCTCATACTGCTGTTTATTTTATCATACAAAAATTCTATTTAGTGGCATACTTTGTAGTTTCCAGTTAAATGTTCCTTTTTGTATATAATTATCTTTATAATTGATTTCCAATTTTATTGCATAATAAACTCTGTATGACAGCATTTCTTTGACAGTATTGATGCTTTCTTTGTCATTAGTACAATTTTTGAACTGTTCTAATGTGAGCATGAAAAAATGTGAATATGAATGTGCATATATTTGTACCTATATATATAAATATACAAAAACATAAACATGCACATGTATCAATATAAACTTACTTTTCATGTTATTGAGATTTTTAATTACTTATTTTTGGCTACTCGATCTATCAGTTTCTGAGGGGAGTGGTTATAAGCT